TTTTTTAGGAAAAAAATAATTTCTTATCGTACTGTCATTTCTTTCCTTCTTTCTATCTTTCTTGTTTGTTTGTTTTTTTCTTAATTGTCGAATTCGGGCGTTGTTCTCCGGTCACGACGCTGACGTCCTAGCTCCTTGCCTGAATTTCATCCGACTACCTCGAGTCGTTTTTACTCCCTCAGTAACGACGTTGCTGAGAGGAGAAAACAACTCGAAGCAATCGGATGAAATTCAGGCGACTGAGGTCCTTCTATCGCGACGCCTTTCCTCGCAGGTGGCAATTTTCAACGCTCTCGCGTATTTCACAAGCTTTGCAGCTATACACGAGACTGCCTGATCGTATGTAGTCCTGAGTCTTGACTGTTTTGTAATAAATGTTCACTTTCCATCAAAATTAAGTAGTAAATGTTCTAGAGGATGAATATATATCTCGACTGCGTGTCACCTGACTGCAGAGGTTTTGTCAACTTCGTTCGCTTCGTTTGTTTCTTACTTATTGCTTTAAAATTCGCTGTAATAAAGTTTAGCAAACCCACTAAGGTTTAAACTTATGTTTAGATGAATCGTTTGAGCTTTAAAGCACCTTAATGGCAGTACAAGTGGGAACTCAGTACTAAAAATCACCAAACACCCGGAAATATGAACGATGTTTTGAATTTGAACATTAATGTGCTACAGCTAACGTAAACTTCGCATATCACGGTCTTGATATAAGTTCTATAATTTACATTCGCCTTCTTAATTCAGACTTACCTTTGTTCGTATTCCATTTGACAGCGAGAAACAACCAAATCATTCAGGGGAGATTCATCCTCTCTCATCTGTGGCGCGTCTTCCTAGAAAATATCGCCTTTCCGATTTCTCGGAAAATGAGGAAGTATACGATTACGCAAATATTTCGAAGTCACGCAATTCCTCGTTCCCGGAAGGCGAGGCTTTTCGCCCCAAAAAGGCCCGATTAAAGCTTAAGATGGCGATTTCATTTCGATTAACCGAATTGGTTTTTTTTTGGTCTCATATGTTATGTGTTTATTTTTTTCTCTAAATGCCACGTTCAATCGGATGGCTGTATGTCACTATTTTGAACACATCACGTGTGCTCGTGACCTGAAAAACAAACCAGTTAACAGCGACCACGGTTCTCGCACATCATGCTTTTGTTTCCCCACTAAAATGCTCCACCTCAGTGCTCCATTGTTTCCACTAAAATGCTCGGTCTCCCCCAAAAACAAACAAACAAACCAACAAAAAAAACTAAACAAAACAAAAAACAAGAACAGAAAAAACGAAACAACAACAGCAACAACAAAAAACTAATTAAAACAGCATTGTATACAAATTAATGCTTTTCATAGAGCGGCTGTGTAAGGGTGACATTTGAGGTTTGTTTTGAATTTCGGCATTAAATATCATTTTTCCTTTAAATATCTTTAATTTCCTTTCTGGAAAAATTCCATTAAATGCTCGAATAATGCTTTATGCTTTTGCGTCACTAAAATGCTCGAAAATATGCGAGTAAATGTACAATTCCCGCGCGGTCAAAAATAGATAATTAATAACAATCAAAAAATTCAATAAATAAATAAATAGATAGATAAAACAAAATAGCAAAAAATAAAAGTTTAATAAATTATAAAATGAAAGGACTAAAACATAAAGTTTCGCTTTTTATTCAGTAGAAAGGGGTGTGATGGGGATGGTCCATATTTTAGCGGAGTTTATTCTAAAAGTAAACAAAAAATAACAATTTTTCTCACTTTTAATTTATATTCAGTTGATAACACGACATATCAAACATGACAGCAATTCGATAGCACTTGGGCCGGAAACTAAAATTGATTGGGCCACAACACGGCAGCCCTCCAAAGAACCCTTTGCATAACGGAGCACGCTGATAGGATTTGGTACAGTATTTTTTTTCTCACACCTTCCACGCAGTTTCGCTGCAAGCAAACGTTTTAATTTTCATAACCCAGTATTCAATTTACAAAGAAAGTAACTTCTGTGAAATACTTCGAGTTTGAGTTTTCAAGGGTATTTTTAAAGGCCGAATAAAAATGATTGGTCATTATAGCACAAAAAGCTACAAGCAAAGCACTTGGTTTAATTTTTCATGAGCGAAGATAGCCATGAATAAAACGCTTCCGTGGTTTGGCCGATATGGCCTCGGCTTGGGTCAAACAAGGCTTCTAGGCATGCCACGTTCTGTAAGGTGACTTCAAATGGAACCTCCTGAAATAATAAATAAATAAATAAATAACTGAATAAATAAATAAATAAAATAGTATAAAATAGAAAGAAGTGGGGACAGCGACTCGTTTGATCCGGGAACTTAAGTGGCAGCCTTTACGGATGAGACGAGAAAGGGCAAGGATGATGTTGTTTTTCAAGATTTCCAGGGGTATAGTGGCTATCCCAATGCCATTATATATCCAGCCACTATATTACAACAGAATCCATCACTACCATCCCGCGAGATACACTGCTGTGAACTGTGGCACTGACTAACCCCACCACGATGAACTTGTGGAACAGCCTACCTCCTGAAGTGATTACTCAGCTAATCGTCAAAGGCTTCAACGTTGGCCTGGGCAATTTTTATATGAATTGATTTTTAATTTAATCTGTTAATTTAGCTACCACTTTCCGGGTTATTTGTTTATTTTGTATTATTATTATTATTATCAATATCATTATCATCATCATCATCATCATCATCATCATCATCATCATCATCATCATTATTATTTTTATTATTATTATTTATGTTTCTTATATCCATGTGATGGCTATGCTTTTTTGGATCATTGAAATAAGCGTAAACGTAAAGTATCGTCGAAGGTTTCTCTAAGTAGGCAAGGACAGAATGAAACTGCTGAGCAGTAAAAATTGAAAGTAATTCATCTGCGCGAACGGGCCTTAACAGAAAAAAAATAATGTAAAATAAAATTTAAAAAAATACGACCGTTTTTTTTTTTTTTTTTTTTTTTTTTTTTTTTAAAGTCCGAGTTCTTTTATTCGCTCGCTTGCTAAAGGTTCTTTTAAGCAGCTCACCTCAAGCGGCACGGATTTTTCCAAGTATAGCAAGGTTCTAATTTCACCGAGATGCTCTTTTAGAAGGGCTCTTATGTTGTCGTCCTTTCTCTGCTTAGCTGAAAGAGCCCGGATCCCAATGCTCTTCTTCTTACGTGGCGTGGCCCCTGTAGTTGTTGACGATTTCTGTTCTGGAGCTCCAGGGACGGTTAACTGAGAGGTTTCTTGTCTCACGGGGCGGGCTAAGGGACAAAAAAATTAACAATCTTTTCAGACACCAAAACTATTTTCGTACAAAAGGCACCTGATTAAAGGTAAGGCACAGGTAGTGCATTTGAAAGGGAGACTTGTTGCCTTAGTGGGTCACGTGATAGTATAACGTGTGCGGAACTTATGCTGTCCATAGTCAGTATAAGCGGGAACGTGGGACAAAATCGATTATCGCTTAATTTCAAACCGAGGAGGGCTGGGTATGAGTCTGTGTATTATGAGATACACAACGTGAGACCCATACAGCCAGAAAGAGCTCAGCACATTGAAGTTAGGCATATTCTCAAGTTTGCTGTTAATCAAGCCAATGTCAAACAAGATACCATCATTATAAAACTTGAAAACTATAAAATTTAGATGACACACTGGCCGCAAGTTCATACATTTCTTGGTAAATTTTGGAGTCTTTGAATGGCTGTATCTCGTTCAATATAGGCCCGATAAACGCCAAACCTCGGTTTCCTCTTTCTGATTTTGTGGATCTTACGTTGTTTATCCCATAATAAACGGAATCATACCCAGCCCCTCACGGTTTACATTAGACAAGAAACACCTGGCCAGCGCTGATCCAACTGAGTAACTGAGGAAGACAAGTCTTTTAGTAGGATAATAATTAATTATGAGACACACTGATCGTACATTCTGCTAGGCTTAGCAATTCTCAGAATGTTCCTGTTTGTTTTTAGCTGATGAAAAATGGTAATTTTCATTCAACTCACCTCTAGTGTTCTGTTCAGTCGTTCCTACTGCCGTTTGCGAAGGTTGTGGATTAGGCGCCAGATCATTCTCAGCGATTTCCAAAGTCGCCATGAGCTTTTCGTGAAAGGTTTGGGCAGGAGGCTCAGTCACGTGACAAAGCCCAGCCTTAACAGTCGAGTAGACTGGGTTAGAGATTAAGTTCAGTGCCTTGTTGTTAAACGCGTAAATGAGAAACAGAGCAGGTTGCCGTGTTTGGGTGTCTTCGGGGTCTTCTAACAACACACGTTCGAGCTCCGGCTGGAACCACTGGACGCACACTTCAAAATCGTTTGCCGTGGTTGACTTGTCTACGAATTCTAAAAAAAGGAACCCATACCATAACTTAGTCGATCGGTATTTTGTAGGGGAAGGGCGCACACGAGCCCCCAGACCCACATAGCCGGAACTATACCCCGTTTCATTAACATGAAGCACCTACGGATATTTTTTTACCCCCTGGACGGGATGCTAGTCTGTTGCAGGGTCACCCAAGTACAGGGGCCTGAGCGGAGAGAAAAAAGTGGAACAAAGTTTCTTGTCTAAGGCAACAAGGCGACAGGAAGCTTGAGTCCGAAGTTCGAACTGTTAACCACTCGGCCACAGCGTCTCTAAAATCAATCGCCATAAACGAGCACTGATGACAGTGAGCAACTAAAAAAGGCTATCACATTTTTAAAAGCGAAATCAAGCATAGCGTAGCCCCATTGATTGCTTGGAAAAGAGTCATCAAAGTTCCAAATAAAGTGCTAAAAACTAGCAAAAGCGACTCACCGCTCTTGGGGTAAAATGACAATTTGGGAATCATTAATTCTTACCAGACTTTTTCGAGGTGTCCTCTGTCATGTCCATCTGAAAAGACTTGGTAACCATAGTCTGGATTCCTGTGACAGAGGGTCCGTAATTCGACAAGACCTCGGGTGGGTAAACCCAACAGCACTCCACTGCATAAGGGCCCAACTCGTTTTTTAAAAACGAATGCATCTTGGAGAGGTTCAGAGCTTTATTGGAACTAAACAACGGCAGCACTCCACCGCTGCTATTCGTCACTTCCTCAGCTTCCGAGTACACTCCGAGGGCTGCATACGAGCACTGCCGACGTAGTACCGACAAATAGCCAAGCAGATGAAGCCACGTAACTTGTACGCGATTGGAGTTGTTTATGGTGGTTCCCATAGTGACTATTCTATTCTGAGTTACCAGAGCCCCATCTTCGGCACTTTTAATGACGTCATCTGTACCAAGAAGGTCAAACAGCGCGAATCCTGGCACTGAACAGGCGGCTTTCTCCGACAGCCTCAACGCAGTGATTTCGGGATCGCCCGTTAGGATACCAATTTTGTACTGCGCAGAGGACACGATACCCGCAGCCCGAATGGCGGCCCAGGCGGTTCTCAGTTCCTTGTCTAACTCTTTGTTTTTCTCTCGTGATTCTTTATCTTTGCGATCTTTTTCCATCCCACTTCCTTTCTTGCTCATCTTCAATTCCGTTCTTTGCCAGGGGTTGATGGGGTCTCTGAGGTGCGATCTGGTGTGTCTGTGGAACGCGAAGGTACTTCTGGAGTCTTAGGAGGCCTGAATTTGTTAGCGTTACTAATAAGGACTAATGCCATTTCCAAATACGCTTGCTTCATCAAGCTGAAGAAGAAAATAAAAATAATAATGAAAACACTTTCCAAAGAAACAAGCAGCGAAAGATCACGAAGAGCGCAAATCTGTTGCCATTGGCAGAACCATGTTGCTTGTGTTTAACTTTGTCACAAATGTAGTATGCATAACAAGCAATCTGGTGCCAAACGCGAGATAGAAACCAGTGAAAAGTTTAGAAACAAACTTGATGGTAAAAGCGGGAATCCTGCCCTGTCTCTGTGTGTAGGCATAGACAAGTGAAGATTGAATAGAGCGGTTGGGTTTGGAAGAAATCGAGCTATCGTAGGTTTCCTTGGAGTGAAAAATGTATAAAGAAAATTAGTTGCCGAGAAAAAAAACAAATAATAAAAGCTGAGATTTGAGTACCAGCCCGTCGAAGAATAATTTGAAACGTCGGTTTCAGAATCCCTTTGTTCAGTGTTGAAACAAACAGATAAACAAGTAAACAACTAATAGTTACAAGATAATTGACAAGAACACAGCTCTACAACGGCAAAGAAGAAACACTTGGATGTGTGGAAATACTCACCCAAGGTCGTGATCAGAAATACAGGTGCACTGCACAGCTTGGACCAGAAAGTCCACCACTTTACTAGGAGACTGCTGACCAGCCTGTAGCATCTTTCTTTGAATCTGACCTGCACCAAAAAAGGCGTGAAACTTCGTAACCGAACAAGTGGAACAAAAATATTTAAGGAAAAATAATAAAATAAAGGTGGGATTAGCTAAATAAAAACAAGACAGCTAACTAAAAAAAAACGAAAACAAAAAACAAAAAAAACAACAACAACAACAACAAAATCAAACAAACCAGGAACACATGTCGTCACATCTATATTACTCAGTAAAGAAGGTCAACTTTATATTTTTTTACATGATTTGTCATTTATAACGGTGACTAAGATGGGACGAACTACATACCAAGTGTAAATAACAGCTGTGCTTCAATAGGCTTCCGCCGACAAGCTGCAGCCCTTGCTAGCTCAAGTCCCAGTGACAGCTCTCTCACTGCAGCCTGCAACTCGGTTGCCGTGACGTCAGTAGGTGGTAGTTGTTTTGCAAGCGCTCTTCCAAGCCGAAGTTTTATGTCGGTCAAAAGGAGATGCTGCGTGAAGTAGATGTTATGAAGTGGCATAACCGGGGATGATTCTATGAGATTCACGTCGCTCCCGAGCTGAGTCAGCTAATTCCGCAAGAAAAATGACGAGAAAAAACGTGATGTTTATGATGCAGTTACGCGATTGGATAAGATTCTTTGAGAGCATAAGAACAGTATGAAGAGGGTCAAATGAAGATCCTACAATAAATAGAGTGAGCAAAAACATGCAAGAAGCACGGAACAGTAAATCTTGAACAGTAGACTGCGTAGACAGACGTTTCTATCTCCGATTAGTCTCCGTTATTTTGTTTGCACACGAGTGACTCAGAATCTGGCTTTAAGATCCTATCACAAACTGCCACAAACTCCGCCATTATCGTTTGTTTTGTTACGTCACGTTTTCGCGACAAATGGAACCTCGAACTTAGGTTTGGGAATGGAAATAACAACCCACAATCCCTTCAGGGCCTCAAGCAACACACGATTCAAGTTCTGTTGTTGTGAATGTCTTCGAAAACCTCTAGTCATTCTTCGCTTTTCTCGGCACGAAGCTCTATTGTTTCAGGACTTGAGTCTATTGTTTCTGTTGTTTGTCTTTGTTTTCTCACCCAAACCTGTTAGCTGTTCGCAAAGCTTTCAGGCGGGAGCGTCAGATACAACTTACTGGGTAGCCTGTTCCAGGTGTTTAGACGGCTTGGGGGCAACTTAATTAAAATTCTTAGCAAAATCATGGGAATTACAAAGTCCTCTTACACTCTTTAAGCCTTGAAAAACGTCCTTAACAGACGCTTTCAGTTCTTTGATGTTATGGATAACATTAAACAACGTATGAATTCAACTATGTATCCCACCCCCTCCCCCGGGTCTTAGGTAGACTGCCCGCGGTTCACAACTAAGGCTGCAAACAAAAATGGCGACAAAACAGGCGACAGACATTGAAACATGGTAGTTCAGAGAAAGAACTTTCCAACTCTGACTTCTCTGCCCTATCGGAACAGGAGAATGCACTTGCGCGATGAAAACCAAAGAGAAAAAAGATCTTGATCTGAGAGGGTTTTCGTCTCACAACGTTCGGCTAACACAAATGACACTTCTCGTTCCTAATGCCTTACGAAAAAAATACCATCCAGCTACCAAACTGTTACCTGATCTAGTAAATAAGCCATTGCTTGTTTGTAGGCGGACAGCGTGTTGTTCAGATACGATATCCCGGAGGTCATGTGAGAGGAAGGTCTGATGTCTGCGTATTGAATGATTGCCAAAACTAACAGCAACTTTACAGAGAAAGACAACGAAGGACTCTGCTCAAGTCGAGATATAATGTTCTAAAGGGACGAAAGAAAATAACTGATTTAATTTGTTGAAGCTCAGTAGATTTGCTGTGTTTGTTCTTGCTTTTGCTGCATTGAGAGCTTTAAGGGTGATTGACGGAAGATGAAGTGTTCGATTTCCTGTAAAAGCTCAGTGTTTCCTTTGTTAGTGCAATATTTAGAATCAGGTTGACATTCAGATAGATCGAATTCTGGTCACGTTTTTGACGAGTCATCTGCTGAATAGAAAATCCTCCCCTGAATGGCTTTACTCAACTATTGGCCTACCCGATCTGGTCATTTAAGTGATTGCCTAGCAAGATCAGGGTGAAGCAGATCGTGTATTAGTACCTCTAACGTTTCCAACAAATTAGGTCCCATCTTTCCCTGCTGTAAATTCTGAACTACACTCAGAAGAGAGAACTCTGCCATAAGCTCTACATCACCAAACGCCTCTGCCTCGTCAAGACCTGCAACGGATAATTGGTGTTTGACAATTTTACCCCGAAGTAAACAAACAAACAAACAAACAAAATATTCCAATTAATAAATACGAGGTTTAAGAGTTCATCCATGAATTCGAAATTTAGTACCGACTCGAACGGGATAAAAAAAAGTTATACAGAATAGTATTGCTGGGTAGCTTTCAATTTAATGATCTAAATCACAGACTCAAAAGGTAGGACCACCTTGTAAAGCATAATGAACAGTACCACAGAAAAGAACTGCTCAGTAGCTTTTATTTAAATGGTAACACTTAAGGATTTCATCTACAGACTCAAAAGTTAGAACCACCTTGTACAGCATAATAAACAGTACCACAAGAAAGTACTGCTCAGTAGCTTTCATTTGGATGGTCAGACTTTTTATTTCAACCACAAACTCAAAAGTTAGAACCACCTTGTAAACATAATAAACAGTGCCATAACAAAGTACTACTGAGATTAAGATTTTGTTAGGTAAGGTAAGGTAAAGCCTTTATTTAAAGAGGGTAAACACGTGACAGTTATGATAAAAGTGATAAACTTGTGGCCCTCAAATTTGTTGAAAGACACGTATTGATAACAGGCTATGGAAATGAAAGGGGGAATAATGCGATGCTCTTGTCAACAGTTCACTCGAAGTCCTGCTAAAAGGTTGTTAATGTTTTGCCAGAAGCCCTGCCTTCACCAACAATCTCAAGAATATGAATTGAGGGCATCCTGCAAGATGGATTCACGTTCATTACCTTGTTGACAGTGATGCAGACACGAGCCAATCGAACTGGTCACGCTTCTGACTGAACCGCCAAGTTTTCCCATTCCACTGTCCTCTTCCGCGAGTCCACGCGCCAGAGCCAGCCGGCACGTCAGCCAGAGTCTCGCGTCCAGTCTACACCGCGCCTGGTTCTGAAAATAATGGTTTCCACCCCACCCGGAAACATAACTCGGCGCGGATCGGACTTGGTTGGACATTAGAGACTGAGCACTAGAAAATAAATAAATAAATAAATAAATAAATTGTAAGTATTGTTAGTACAGCAGGAAGTTTACGCAAAATTTTCCAAGCTCCAAATATGATTTTCTTCCTAACCATTCAATGCAAACAAAGAGAGGTTAAAAGTAACAAAAAACTTAACTTAACTTAACTTAACGTAAGTTAAAACTGATTTCATATTGCGAGTAAGATATAGCTACAGTGTGTGGCGAGAGTCCTATTTTTGTTCAATCTGTATCGATAAGACTGATATAGTACCGTTTCTCCAAATCCAGTTCATTCAAAATGGCAGCGTCTTCCAAGGCTCTCATGCAGGCATATACGATGTTTCCACTGGTAACTGCATGATGCCGCTGACTGGCTATTTGTGCTAGTTCCAAACGAGACAGGCAAACTTGTTCCAGATCCACCGAAGATAAACTTAGCGCTACAAAAAGAGCGAAAATACCCAATGAACGCGGTTGAGACATGAGAAAACACGGGCTCAATTTAGGTTTCTGAGAAGCTGCCCACCTACCCCTCCCCTAACTCAACGTTAACATTTGCGTCTCACTTGGGGCAAAATGTTGGGGTTAGGGGAGGGGTAGGTGGGCAGTTTCCCAGATACCTAAATTGATCCATAGAATGGGCGGTAAAACAGACAGTCCGTAAAGCAATCTTGTCCCCAGGGCTTTTCCCTGCGGTCGAGGTTGTCATTGAAGAAAGCGGGAAAAGAAGTCGCTTGTTAAAACGCGGGGAAATATGTTGCCATAAAAAGACGCGGGAAACTTTGCAGCCAAGTGATACAAGGCGCTGAGGCCTCAAAATATCGAAAGAGCACTTTTAGCACTAAGACGTGCATTGATCAGAGTTACTTACGTTCATCTTCCAGGCTGCCTTGATCTTGAGCATCAGTCAGTGATTCGCACAAATTAGTCAGAATTAATTCCGCAGACGCCAGAAGGAAACCCTGCAAATAACAAAAGTATAAGATATAAAATCAACGTTTAATATTGTAATAAGCGAAAACAGAATTGCAGCTAACACATTATACCTACAAAAAAGCAACTGCAATTTTACCCTAATACATGAATTGAAAATACTTGTACCTTGGTCAGTTGAGGGGTGGCCGTGCTGGCATCAATAAGTTGCTTTCTTTGTGTGATCTGACTGCTTTTAACGCTAGTTACATCATCTGAAAAGATAAAATGTATTTAGAATAATTTGTCACATAAATAGGTATTGGTAGCAGTTTCTCAATTATGGCTATGTACAAGCTTGTACTTTAACATCTTCGTAACTCAAAGCTATAAGTTAAAGATATAGAGAAGAAAAATGTTTCCCTTTTTCTCTAATATTTCACATCCCAATTACACTGTATAATAATTAATAATGCTTTAGACCTTGATTGGTTAAGACCTTTTAGTCTGTGGATGGCAGCATTTAAATGGAAATTATTAAGAAGTGCTTTCCTGTTTATCTTTTTTGTTGTTGTTGTTGTTGAAGGTGTTTAACGAGTGATCAGTTAAATGAAAGGTATTTCAAGTTCTCTCCTGAGGTACAGTAAAGACTGGCATATAAAAACATGTGCATCAAGAACATCACGCTGAAAGTTGGCAAATAAAGCAACATTTATAGAACCAATTTAGCCTGATAAATAAAACATGCTCTTGCATATAAAGAAGGAGGATGCCAAAATAAGAAACCACCGATGTAGTAACCCATATTCAAGTACTGAAGTGTGCTGGACCATACAAACTCTAAGAGCCACACGTACCTCGACGTACGTAATAAAACATTGTTGTTAATTAAACCTATACTTTATACATTGCAATGTATAATGTGAAGTTCTGTATTTCTGAAATACATTTTAAGAACATTTCCAGGCAGATTTCCCACTAAGCACCCGGTAAATAAGAACATGATCAGCCTGAATGCGCCTGAAATCATAGGTTCTTATAACCGGGTGTTTACTTTCTTTGCAACTCACCGCTGATTTTTTTCTTGCTGTTTTTCTTTCCCATTTGAGACTGTGACAGAGGAGGTATCGTCTGTAGCTCTTGCATAGTTTGCTCTTCTTCTTTTGCTTCCAAATATCGAGTGAGACTAAGCCAAAAAGTATAACTTTTACTGGTCAGTCGATAAAATTCTGTTTGGTTCTTTGAGCGATGTAAGAGATGACCATACGATTACAAATATAACCAACAATAAATAATAGTAATATACGAGCGATTAACCAAATCACAAAATGTTTAATTTCGAGTTTCATTACAGTCCGAATTGAACGATACGAAGTTCCATTACCCATTTATCCTATAACTATAACACGATTTTTAAATATTTTAGGTTTTTTTTTTCCTAGTTAAAGTAAGAGATATTTCGAGAGTATTTAGCCAGCCGTAAAGGTGAATGGGCCACCCTGATTAAGTAAAGTTTACTAATCATTTAAGTATTTTTTTAAAAGGCCCGCAAGCTATCGCGCATAATGTCTGTCCAATAACTACCACACTGCCCGGTTAATGCTGAAATCAGGACAGTTGTTAGCCCATGCGATTTGAGAATTTTACTACAGTTATGATTAAAACGCATTCAAAAAAGTTCTTTCCCACGTTTTCATGAAGTAAAAAAACAACTCGCACCTATGCAGAGAGCAGCACAAGGGAAAAGGCAGACGTGGCAGTAAACGTTTACAGAGAAGCGTATTGTATAATACAACGTTTTGAAATCAGTTGAGTGGGTAGAACGTAAATTGGAAACTGTAAAGATGATTTCGTTAATTCTTTTGTTAGACCAGAGTCCTGAATGTAGTGAGCGTGCCAAATTTATATTTTTCCGCAATCTTTTTTTCGTTTTGCGATGGCAATGTTATTACAATTAGTGTATGATACCGTGCAAAAATACGGAAAAGGAAAATGTGATACAGGTTTTAACTGGTTTTGTTTGGTTGCGGCTACAAAACCGGAAAAGAAGTTGCAAAGTCATAAGAACTTACTCTTGTAGACAGCCTACTGGTATGGCGTAAATTGTATCAGCGATAGCGATCATAAGGTGCGCATGTGCAACAGTGAGCTGTCCTGTTAGATATGATCCATACAGCACTGCGAGCGAAGGCTGTAATCGGCGGTCCATCAAGTTGTTAAGAACCTATAAAATTGTATGAGAAACTCGTAATTAATATATTTGTCAAAAGCAAAGTTCCTCGATCGTACTCTCTTTGTCGATGAAGGAAGTGAAACGAGCCTGGTAGAAAAACCGCTGGACAAATTGAGACTGTTTTTCTGAAGCGCTTGCATTAGTTATCTCTCTACTAGATTTCTTTCGTTCTTATGTATTTCTCCATCTTCTTTACTTAGAAATTCTTTTTTGTTAGCCGGTCTTGTTTTATGCAGAGTTTTTTCACCCAAGAAAATTCTCCGAGTAGTATTTTTAAGGTCTTTTCAGGGTTTTCTTTGATTCTAAAACTATCCTGATTTGTGAGTCAGCGGGATTGTTACTTACCGCTAAATTTCCCGGATGTAAAAGAGATTCCCCATTGTTGAATACTGGAGGAGATTTCTGAGGGAAAGACAACAAAAACGAGGGATAATACGCGAGTGATCTCAATGGTAAAAATAATTGAACTGAGAAAAGATGGGTTTAACAAATATCAAACAATCATCATATATGATACCCTTTTACTTTCCACTGTTCTAAAACCAATATCTGATATTTTAAGGAAGTTTTTCACCCAGCAGTAGGCCCATCAAGACTTTTATCGCTTCAGAAAACATTCCAAGATCTGTAAGAACTCGAACCTGTTGGAATGAAAGAACTTAGAGTCACTGGACATTGTACAAAACGTTTGCTGAAATGGCAACAGTCAGTTCATCCGAAGGGGTGATCTCTTCACCGGGCTAGAGTAGTTCAAGCGGTCCAGATAACATCATCCACCAGATAAATCCCTCTCTAATGGATAACAAAATCGGCTAGGCGAATCTTTCCTCGTATTTTTCCCTTAAAAGCATAACTGCCTTTCATTCTCTGAACAAGCTATTAAAATAAACTCTCTGAATATCGAGGGAAAAAAAAAAACAACAACAACAACAATTTCAGTTATCTGTAAAAATTTGAGCCCTGTATGCTGAATAGCTTCGGATAAATTATCTTTTAAAAACTCGAAGAATGTATGGGCTCATAAACGTTTTTGTCACCCAGCAATTTCGAAGTTTTCGAAGGCTGCTCCTTCGTTTGTTATTAGTGAGTTGCAAAATTGTTGTCACGCTTGTCACACAAGGTTTGCCGGCTTCTTTCCTCTCCCGTCCTGTTGAGTAAGCCCACTATTGCTTGCAAAGAGCTGAAAATTCCACAAATTAACAAATTCTTTCAACTTTTGAATTTAATTTGTGCATAGGTTGATGTCTTCTATGGGTTAACGCGTATGCTCATGGCAAAAATGTAAACAATGACGTCACCAAAGATTCGGCTGTACAACTTCTGTACTGAGGCGTGTAGTGATTCGTTCAGCATTAAATACTTCAGGTCTCGCGGATTAGGCAATACCATTATCATGATCACGCTGTTTCCCTAGACATGACAGCCACGCGTGGCCACATGATGTAGCCTTTACGTTGGTATGCCGCTAGTGTGGATGATATGCACAGAATTACTTACTTTGAGTATTCTTATGTCCACTGATCTTTGTAGATCACGTGACACGTGTGTCGTGAAGTACAGGCACAGGGTAATCAATGGAAGAACCTAGAAAAGAGTAAAAGCCATTGTCATAATTCAAGTAGTACAAATAGTAATCAACACCACGACCTCTTCAGCATATACTAACAAATTATAACCTTGGGATGAGAATTTCGGCCAAGCCATGTCAAGCTTTCAACTTAGATTCTATCACTGAACTGAGCACTTGAGTCCGTTAGTCCTTTGTGCGTTCTCTCATGCATAATGAGAAGTGAATATTAGAATACAACTTCTCTGTGTTCGGTCAACTTGAGAAAAAAAAAAGGACCCACGAAGACGTTTCTATCACTGGCAGGTTGAAAAAGAGAGTTGAGATGAGACAAATCTTAACTACCTCGCAAGTAAATTCACTGCTTATTAAGCATGCAAGAATAAACACATGAATCTGATATTACCAGCAACAAACGGATTCAATGTTTGTTCAAATAATGAATTCATTAAAAAAATCTGTGGGGTTACGCTTGACCTGGAATGACTGTTATAACATCTATTTTATCGATGGGTACTTTATATAGAAAGACTCACTGTGACTAGGTAACGTGCTCGGGCCAGTTCTTCAGTGACCCATCTCAACGCGGCCAGTATTGTTCGTCCGTTACTTCTGAAGGCCTCGGACAGAAGATCAATACCGGGTACCAGCTCCGCCACTTCGCATCCTGTCACCTCATATAAGGCGTAATCCTTGTCCGCTGTAGGGTGGGGAAGGGAAGAACAGAACAAGGCCTGGAAATAGAAGACAGTCTGAGTATTTCAGGTTCCCCCTTAAGGACCGAGGTTAAGATAATTTGGTATCTATAGAGGAGGCAGGGTGTGGGGGAGGTAATAGGTTCCTGGTCTCTATCAGATATTAATGTGAGAAGGCACACAAAGGAACAGCACGCGGTCTCATAACAAGATGTCCAATTCCTAGACTAACTCCAAGAGACTCTTTTGAAGATTGTTGTTGTTTTTAGTTAATGGGTTAAGGGAGTTGTTTTGCTTGAAGGTTATAATGCCTTCTCAATAGACCTTTTTCACAATACCCGCCATCAATAGAGAATGGAAGCAATGTCACGTGGTTAATTAAGGGGCAAACAAATGATAAAATCTGCCAATACAAGTTATCGTGTTCAAGTTTGTTTATAGCAAATTGTGGGTGGAGGTGATCATTGTTACTTTAATTTTTCGGATGCAGTTCGACTGCAAATGTCCTCACAGCACGCAACAAAGACGTAAAACGTGCCGAAACTCGAGCTGGGCCCGGTTGCTAGAAAATAAAGATAGTTACGTTTAACCCAAGATTAAGCCAAAATTTAAGCACGAACATGCAACTCGAGCTTACAACATGCGGTTGAGCCTTTACTCCGAGATATAGTTATGATAACTCAAAATGTTACTCTAAGCAATACGTAGGAAAGTAAATACAAAAAGTGGAACCAAATTTTAATCCTGGATTAGCGCTAATCGGCCTTTCAGGAACTGGGTCTTGTGCATTTTGCAACACTAAAATCGTCACCTCGTTTTGAGAAAATAAATAAATTCCACCGCGATTATTTGTATTGGCAAATATTATCACTTGTTTGCCCCCTGGAATACCACGTGTCATTGCTTTTATCTTATCAATTCTAAAGCGTTTCCACAGATGGCGGGTAGCGTGAATAAGGTCCACTGGAAAGGACAACGATAGAAACTATTGTCTCTTGCTGCAAGAAAGGCCGGCCATTAGACACTTCTTCAGAATTTATACCTTGTAACCCGTTTAATATTTAACAGCCTAATAGCAAATCCAAAATGTAAGTAAAACCTTGAAAAAGGTAGCGGACAGCAGACAGCATTCTAAGCGAAGTCCAAGGTTTGATGTGTGAATGTATCTACGGAGAAATCCAGAAAATAACATGAAATGAATCTTATAGGTAATCGCAAATCGGCCATCTACGAGTTCAAAAACTGTCGCTTTCAAAACGAGGCAAAGTATAAGACCTTTCTTGTTGAAATGAGTTTTATCTTCATGGAAATAAAAAATTGCTCGGTTCATATCTTCTTGAAACAGGGATTGGGCAACTCGGAAATGGCCTACCGTAAAATTCCGAAAATAAGCCCCTCCTTGTATAAGCCCCTTCAAATATAAGCCCCCAAAACGGAAACGCAAAAACCCCTCCATTAAATCGCCCCTCCAAATATAAGCCCCCCGGGGCTTGTATTTGGAATATTGCGCTCAAGTACTAAGTAAAACAAAGAAAAAACGAAAAAATTACTTGCAACTGTAAGGCTGGCCCAATCGATTTTGAAACGCAAATTTCCCTCCGTAGATAAGCCCTCTGAATATAAGCCCCTCCAAAAAGAAGCCACTCAAAAAGGGCCCTTGAAAAATATAAGCCCTGGGGCTTATTTTCGGAATTTTACGGTATCCTAATAAATATCCTTGGAGTCATAAGTCTATAGGATTACGTGTAAAGATGTTTTACGATTTATTTGTGGACGCATGAGACTAGGGTAACATTTACTGTTTTCAAAGATGAACTGGAGGCAAGAAAATCGCTGAAAGCTTTCTTTCTACAGCCAAAATTATAACTAAATACTCTTCGGAACGTTTTTTCTCTCTATTTGCGGAGAGAAGATATCGACTAAAGGCTTTTCAAAGAACTGTAAGCGCTGCAGTCACAGATTGATTGAACCATGGAATCATGGAACCATTGAACGAAAAATCTCAAATCGCTCAAGAATATGGTCTGCTGCCGGCTGATGCCTACCCTGGTCCCAGAAGTTTTTCTTGATTTTTCTTCGCGAAAGAGATCAAGAGCAAGCCGCGAAGCGGCGACAATGAGTCGCGAAAGCGATGAGGAGATAGAGAAAAACCTCTCGTTACCTTGGCCTCGGATCTCAATATTTCATGTAGACGACAGGGTCAGGATCTGACCCTCGGGCGTTGATTGGTTGATATTTTTTCAAACACGCAAACCAATTTGATTGGCTCGTTTAATTGTAACTACCGAGGGGACGCTAAGGATTTTCACACCTCATTTTGCCTCTCTCTACCAGGGAAGAAAACAGTTTGTATGCTGCACTCGCAATAACATTTGCACGCATTGCCAGAAATTAGGGACAAGATGGCGGTTGCGCGTGCGCACTAAGGCCACAATGGCTGCGAATTCGTATAAGAAAATGTATGGAGATAAGGAAACTTTTTCAAATATATCGATTATGAGCTCACGGGTGTTCGGTGCCCGACTCGAAACATGTTAAGTGCTGTGTAACCCTCGCATCTGGGTTAAAAATAGCTAATTAGAAGTAGGTTTACTTACTTCCTGACGTGGCCACTTTTATTCCTTGTTGTACGCTCCATTTCTCCATACATTGTCTTAAAATCTTGCCGAAGTCATGCAAAATACTCGTCGATTAGAGGATAAACCCTTCACTGAAGTAAATTTACCCGACTCGATATCACTTCTGCGATGGAAGGTGTTTCCAAAACAGTCGTTAAAAGGACAATTTTTGCACTGCAAAATACTTCCAAAGGCGCATTATTTCCCTCAGTTTTCCATCTGTAGTCCAGTAATGGACGCCATGGTTGCGAATGACACATTTCGGTCGGACACAGCTTCACAACTCCAAACCCCACAGAATCGCCATTTTGTTTGTTGCTACAACTCCAGAGATGCTTCACGGGATATAAACTAGGTTCCAGGCATTCAAAAATCCTCGATTAGCCTACCAGGCTTGGTTTTAAAACAAAATTGTCACGAAAATGTCACGAAAGGTACATCCGCGGGGCGTCTGGAAAAGCGGGAAACCGGAATCCGGTATAGGAACGGGAATAGGAACAGGAACAGGAAGCGGAACCGGAATGGGAACCGGAATGGGAAGGGAAACCTATATATAAATAGGGATAACATTTACCTTAATTTAAGTTAATCTGGATTTAATTCCTATTCATTTAATTCCTATTATTATATACGAAAAATAAGGGAAAAATGTAATAGGAACCGGAATAGGAAGGGGAATATAAACAGTGTATAGAAATATGAAAAGAAAAAGATATAATCGAGATATAAATAAAAAGCCAGAGAAATAATTAAAGAAACAAGAAAACGCCCTTGAAATGTTAATCTAATTAACCTTTCTTTATCCTTGATTTAACCTATGACACATTGTGGTTTTTTTTGTGTCAAACATAATAGCGAACTTAAGCAACGAGAACGCTGACCGTCGCTTGATGGAACGCTTCTGTCTCACACAACGAATCTGAATTCTTCCTCTTACCTTCCACTGTGCGAATTTGTTGAGTCAGAGCACCGAAAGACAGAAAACATCCACTTCCAGTTTCCATTTTTAATGTCCTGGCCCCGGTTGTTCAAACGTTGGATAGCGCTATCCATCGGATAAATCACTATCCAGAGGATAAGTATTAGGAAAACCGATTGCACTATCCACTGGATAGAGATTTATCCACCGGATAGCGCTATCCAACGTTTGAACAACCGGGACCTGGACGTCAACGTTCTGGTTGCTTATTAAGGTCCCTATTGCACTCGGTTGAGGTAGATGAAGTGCTGGCTGGAATTGGGGGGGGGAGGGGGAGGAGGTGCGTGTTAATACCCTTTTTAAGCTGTAGGGTGGACTATCTATTTCTGGTTAACTTCCAAATTTAGCACAGTACAACATATCTATGTAGCAAACCTGAGGTGCATGGCAGCCCAATAAACGTCTCTGATGGGTGTCTCGTTTACACATGGTCTGACAAATAATATTAACATGTTATAACCTCCTTCCTATGACAGATAAAAGGAACCTTAAGATCTGACAACGGCAACGCCAGCGAAAACGCCACTGAGAAATTGAATTCGGGTCTTAATTCAAACTATTACTCTTTAATTCCAAATTGCCCAGTCTTTTAAAGGTTGGGAAATGAAGCTGGAGACCGCGTCCGAGGTTAGAAAGACACAATAAAAATTATCGCCTGTCGTTCACGTTCTCAAGAGAACTTAAGATTTGATCATTTACGTCGTAGATGTGCATAGGCGGTGAAGAAATTGACAGAAAGCGCGATGCATTCGCAAAGTTGTTGCTTTACTTATTTAACTTGCGGCTTTTTCTACCTTCTCCTTGCCGTAATATAAAGAGATTCGGGGGGGGAGCATGATACCAGACTAGTTTTCTTATTTTTTGTATAAATTGAATTAGAATTAAAATAATTTAAAGTAAATGATGCCCCTGTTCTAGTATCGGTTCCCCTTCACATTACTTTTCCGGTTACGTTGCCGTTTCCGGTTCCGGTTCCGGTTCCTGTTCCCATTCCGTTCCTATTCCGGATTCCGGTTTCCGGCTTTTCCAGACGCCGACATCCGCGTACTGTTTTGTTGCTATCAGCCGCTCGGCCGCGTATAAACCTAACATTTTCTTGCAAGGTGTTTAATTCCAGCTTTTTTCTTCGTAAAACAGATCCACAGAGCTCAAATTATTTAAAAAATCGCAAGGGATACGCTTTCCTGGTAAATGCTAGTTTCCATATCTCAAACTGCCCTTGGATACCTTGTGATGCGTACACAAAGTAATTGCATATATGTATACATATATGAGTGAGCCCTGACGATAGTGATTAGGGTTAAGCACTAACAATACTGATTAGGGTTAAGCACTGACCATACTGATTAGGGTTAAGCACTTAGAATAGTGATTAGGGTTAACGGTTAGCTTCTTTTTAGGGTTAGGGTTTTTGCTACAGTAGTTAAATTACTCCAAGTCTCGGCAGCGAATCCTCGGTGGTGCAGCGGTTAGGGCTTCGGACCACTGATTTAGTATTCCGGGATCGATTCCTGGTCGCACTACGGAAATTTTTTTTTCCTTTAAAATTGAAGAGACTTGCACTTTGACGACATTTGTTGAGCAGAAACTAAGTCTCTGGGTCAAGAAACTTAGAAATTTCATGTAAGTGTAAGTGAAAAGGGAGAGGGCGGTTTGAGATATGGAAACGAGTGCTCACCTGACTACGATAGTTTTTGTCCGCCATTTTAAAAATGAGATTCCGCTGACAATTGATCACGGGCGCGAAATGTCCACGATTTCTGGCAATGGGGACCAAGGCACGTAAAGGCACGCCATATTTCGAGATTTTGACATGGATGTTGTTCCTGAAAGAATATTCGAAGAAATTTTGACCTCGGTACTTGATGAGCGCTTTCCTGAGTCTCACTGAGCAACAGAAGAAAGCTTTGTTGGCCGCGTTGAGTCGAAATGATGTGTTCACCATTTTATCAACCGGACATGGAAATTGAAAGTATATAATATTTCAGTCGTTACCTGATGTTTGCAAGTACCTTTCCTTAAGAGGCTACTTATACCCTCGCCATGCAATAATTTTGGTTGTCTATCCTCTCAAGTCTCTTGTGGACTCGCATATCCGCGAGCTGCGAAACCGTGGCGTCTCAGCAACCAGTTTGAGCAGTCGAGACGTTGACGACCAGAATCTCGTGTCTCGATGTATTTACCATTTTCTGTTACAATACTGTCGTTCCATTAAATAAACTAACTTGTTTAGGGCAGCAAATTAAAAATCTCCGAATACGGAATGAAAATTTCCTTGTAAGAAAAAAAACATACAACTTTGTACAAGTACGTAATCATTTTCGGTGCAGCTTGCATTTTCCTGCGACCCCCAATATTTATCTTTAAAGATCTAACCAACGTTATTTGGCAATGGGTCACAAAACCCTCTGAAAGTACATCCCGAACCTTAAGGGTTTGTTGTGCTGCATGACTCTTTCTAGCGCCGTTGTCCCACAAAAAAAGGAAATGCAGCTGCTAAACCAAAATGCGAGCCAGATTGCCAGAATACATATTAATATTACTATTTTGGGGGAAATGCCCGCGAATAGACGCGAACGGCGCGCCCCGCAGAAGTAAACAATATTTTATTTAATAAGCGAGATTGATAGACTCTTGGAAACTTTACAACTTCCCGCTGGCACTTCTGACAGATAATCCCGTTGAGTCATGTACACAGCCGACAGAACAGATGACAATGTTTGTGAAAAATACTTATTATAACCAAAAACGTTGATTCTAGATCGGCCACTTATTTTTACATAAATTCTGCAAATCCTGCAGCATATCGTTTGGAACAATGTTGGTTTCTTTATAAAGTGGTGTAATTATTCCTGGACTCTTGTCGCCCATCGTTAACATATGCTTAAGCTTGACCCCGATTAACAAATCACTCTTTACCACCCAAGTGGAAATGGTTTGTTCATAACATAATTTCCCCAGGTCTACCCCCACTTAAAAAGATAGCGGCTGATAAGAAAGTGTTTGCTAAATTGCTATTGGTGACTCTTTTTTTTAGCAATTTGACGCGTTTGACAGCTGTCGTCTGCATGAAATTGAGATTCGGGGCCAAAGTAACCAGACGTTTTTCTCTATCTCCTCATCGCTTTCGCGACTCATTGTCGCCACTTCGCGGCTTGCGCTTGATCTCTTTCGCGAAGAAAAATCAAGAAAAACCTCTGGGACCAGGGTAGCTGATGCCCGGCAGCAATAAACATTGTCCATTCATTTAAAAAAAAAAAAAAAAAAAAAAAAAAAACGTTGTTATTTCATTTTGAAGGGTTCCAGAGAAGAAAAATTTTAAAAGACTTCATAAATTATTGTTCTTTATGATCTTCCGCATTACATTATGATCACTTTTCTTTTTATCTAGTTATTAATCCATTTTATGTTAATGTTATTTTTTCTTTTTATATAACACCAGTCTATGTAAATGATACTGCAAAATAAACGCTGTTGTACACATCACGTGGTTAGACATTTCAGAGTAGGTTTAAGTGTAACTGTTCCGCCGAGATTAGCAAATGCTACCTAGCCAGTCTCTTTGTGTCATGTATTTACAAATATATTTCGAATAAAGTTGGGTTGAAGTTTTGAATTTATTCATTTATTGAATGAATGGCCCCCCTCCCCCGCAATGGAAAAGTTTACGTTTAAGCGTGACGTCGTTATCTTCCGCCTCTGTGACTTTCACATGATCAGCCCCCAGCCGTAACATGACCACCTCGTGATTCAGCATTAATTTTATAAAAGTTCGAACCTGCAGCCGACTGCCGAGCACTGCCAGCTATTCCTGCAAAGTCAGCTTGCTCAGGCGATCTCAACAATGCATCGAATAATTGTTTTGCTTCTGTTGGAGTCAGTTTGCAGTAGCGTTTCGGGGAAGAAGAATGAAACGTTTATTGTTTCCTCGCTGGAAATGGCGGAAGAGATCAACACCATGAACATTGGGTATGGCTTGTTTAAGCGGGCTTAGTTCTATTTTTAAGGCCCGGTTTAGACGCCGAACCTTTCATGAGCCTAACCTAATTCGAATTAAGGCCGAACCAAATTATTTAGACGGGCTGAATTGATTCAGACGCCAATCGCGATCTTAAGTTCAATAGGCGAAACTGGTAAAACTGCTTACAAAATACGTTATAATAATTAATGCATTAGGTTCGGTACATGAAAAGTTCGGCGTCAGAATCAAAGCCGTTCCAAGTCGCTCCAAAGGCGAAATTCCCGGCCGGGCTAGGCGAAAAGAACGGCTGAGCCGTTCCAAATTGAAACAGGCGTTGCTAACTGATTCAGACGCCGAAATTTTCATGTACTTAAGGTCTCGGTAAAGGAAAACGAGGTGCCCACAGAAAAAAATTCTAGTCGCGCGAGTATTTTCGCTACAAAGGCAAGTTATATATCAAATTAAAGCTAAAAGACTAAATTACCTTATAAAAGATTTTATTTTATCGAATTTCAAAAGGCGCTTTAGTTTTTTGCTCTCAAACTCAGAGGTATCGAAGCTCCAGCTCTTTCACGTTGTTAAATATTCACTTCCTTTTTATTGCATCTGATCGACAGATAAAAGACCTAAAAAAGGGTGTGAGGAAATTTGCGTGTCTCGTATTAGCGGAATTATTGCATTTCAAACTAAAAAGTTGAATCTCGAGCGCGATTTACGCAAAGAAACTGACATAAAATGATCGAGTTACAAAGGATATTGGTGTAATGAAAATAAAAGTCATAGCTAAATGTATTGTTCTCTCTTCATAAATAAAAATGAAGTAATACAAGGGGAGGATGCCAAAGAGAGGAAGAGACAATGCAGTTAAAATGAAAAAAAAGCTTCCTTAAAATATAATTATATTAATTTTTTGTTTTACCGTCAGTCTAAAACGTGAGAGACACTTTGCCACCAAAAGTGGGCAATCAGGCCGAGACGCTTGTTGTCCCCGGCAGAGGTTTGAATTGTAACCCTACAACCCAAGTGTGTTTATAGTCTCCTGGAAAATTTGGAAGGGGTTCTGAGTCATTGTTCTTGATACCCTCACTTTATTTCAAACACAGTTATTTCCTGCCACAGTGTATGATTTGTCTTAATTAGTTTCAGACCTAAACCAAAATCCCATACTTAATATCAGTTAGTTCAATTATTATCATAATTATCAGTGCAAGTATATTAAATACTAATAATTATTTTATCGTACTGAGGAGATCTGCTGTTTGTTATATGATGCTAATTTGTATCTGCAGATGGAAGGCAACTGTTTATAAACAGTTTGCTGGCATGGATTGGTCGGATGCTAAAAAGATGCTTGGCAGTTATGGTCCATGGCCCAAAGATTCTCCTCTAAAACTTGTTAAACAGGATGTTGCTAGTGAAATTCCCAACAGTTTTGATGCTCGTACAAAGTGGCCTGGCTCCATTCACGCGATTAGAAATCAGGTACAACGTAGTAGAGGTAATAACAACAGTGTTTCTGGAATGGCTCAAAATTTCAGAAAAGTGTCAAGTAGTCAGATTATTCATGATGACAATGACTTACTTTCATGATGACTTTAGTTTGATTTTGTTGTTCTTCCATATACATTGAAAAATTACTAAACCAGCATAAGATTAACCGGAAACATCAGGGAAGTAGCCTTTAGGTCAAACATAATATAACTACCATCAATGCAATGGCGCAGTACAAACCATTTGGTTGTAGATAAACAAACTTTTAAAGCTCGATTTTTTTCATTCTTAGGGTCGTTGTGGAAGTTGTTGGGCCTTTGGAGCCTCAGGTGGGTTAATGGTCAATATTAGTCAAGTTGTTTTACATTGGTGAAAAAACTATAGTTAATTTATGTCTAATTTTTTTTCGATGTTTTGTTTGTTTAATGCAGAAGCACTTTCAGACAGGTTTGCTATTGTGAGTAGCAATCGAATTAACGTGGTGCTGTCAGCCCAGCAGCTTGTTGACTGTAACACAGTGAATGATGGTTGTAAGAGTGGCTGGCCCTTAAAGGCGTGGCAGTACATGTCCGAAGTTGGGTGAGTGGATTGGTTCCTGAAATTTTAATGTACAGATTTATATATCTGCCCAAGGATTGTTTATAGTATTTTTGGAGGTTACCATGACTGGATCTCAGAGTAAAAGTTCAATGTTTTAATGTTTTAATGTTTAAAGCTCTAGTTATCTAGGCAATAAAACTTAAAAATTTAGTTTAATCCTCGGCTAGATCAAACCATCTGTCATGGAACCGAGAGGTACCCATTACGCCTCGTGTAACTCAGTTTGCTTTCCTCTTTTTATTTGTCCAAAGCCTTCTGACTGTACAGTGCTATGGTGAATACACCGCAAAAAATGGAACCTGTAGGTTTAATGGATCATCTATCACACGATGCCCCAGTGGCTACGGAACACCCAGATTCTACAAAGCAGAAAACGCATATACTGTCAACCAATCCGTATGTAAAGTCTTTCTTTGGTCACATGTATACTTTTTTTTTTAAATAAGAAGATAAAATAATATAAAATAATGTAAAATAGGAGTTACAAAGGAACAGTTCTACAAGATGTTTCTAAGTCTTGCTGTTCAATTTTGTTCATTTGCAACTACCCAATTTTTTATTTGTAATACAAGTTCATTCGACTGCAAAACGTTTAGCTCGTTACTTTGTGAAATACATTTATGGGCGATGTACTAAAAGGCTTTTAATTGTATTGAACAGAAAAAAACAAAACAGGATCAATGTTTTTCTTGTAACTTACATTGCAGTACCCGCTACTATTATGTAGGTCTGCTTTTTTGTTTGTTTGTTTGTCTGCCTTGACTGTCATCATCAAACATTCTTTTGGTTCCGATCTGTCTGGTTTGCCACAGTAAGTTTGCAATGAATCCAACCAGCTGCTCTCTTCAGCACAACTCTCTTCTTTTACTTAGGTTGAAGCAATTCAGACGGAAATTATGACCAACGGACCGGTTGAAGGTACTACACCTTAATGCTAATAAATGCAGAGAAGGTTATCTCAGTCAAAGAAAGCCTGAAAAGTTCAGGCTTGCCGGGATTCGAACATTAGGGACTTTCAGCAAAGATTACTGAAGGTTCTAGTACGGTGACCCGAAATAATTTTTTTTCGCCACCTGTCAATGCCTCAACGGCTATAGCGGTGAAAACGTCGCTTAAAAGTGTATTCGCGTTCTTTTATTCTTTATCGTGATTATTTTCACTCGCTTTCTGAGGTTGAAGCCGTGCTGTGACCCCCCAACGGCAAGGAAATGTTAAAGAAAACAGTCATAATAAAGGGCGATATCCCTTATGAAATCCTCTTTCCCGTCAACTGCATTTTGCGTATTTGGCTGTATTTTTCACTGGGGTGTCGTGCTTGACACCGGAATTTGCGGCTCATGATCGAAAAATGAACCTTCAGAAATTTCCAAGGATGATCAAAAAGGATAAAATGCGCATATCTTGCGAGTCTATTTCAAAGATACACTGGCGTTCTAAGCACCTAAAATGCAACTAAGTACTTAACATACAAGACACTATGGCCCGCCATGATCTTCTACGTATTCGGGAAGCGTAGTACGGCCAGTCAATAAGTTTAATTAGTAAATCAACGACATGCATTTGCATCTTATTGTTTTATCAACATTTCTTTGCCATCACTGCACGTTCACGGCGTGCAAATGCCTAACTTCACGTTTTATTGAGGACGTAAATAAACGAAGACGAACTTTTTTCCCGTATGAGTTTGCCTAAATTGACAAAATAAGCGACTTGTAATAATCGCGAAAAAGAATGAAACAATGCGAATTTACTTTTTATTGAAAAGCGACGTTTTGACCGCTATAGCCGCCGTGGTACCTTGAACTTGAGACATTGACGTGTGGCGGGAAAAATACTTCCGGTCACCCTGCTAGACCCTTCCGTAGTCGTTGCTTAAAGTCCCTATTAACTTCTGCGCCGGATACCCATGCAGCGCTGCTCATTTTTCTTTTTTCGGTGTAGGGATGAGGTGTAGCTTGGATAGCTGCCCCCCAAAAAAACTGATAGCACCTGTCTCCTACCAGCCTCTTCCTTCGGAGTGGAAAACTTCCGTTGGGCCATATGCGGCCTACGGTCACTGTGGCGTTATCTTCTGGTGTGTAACCTGTTTCCTCTGCAAATGAGAAAGGTGCTTTCCCTTGAACGGAGTACCCTTGTGGGATTTCAGAGTTCCTGTTAGACGTTCAGTACAAAAAGTTCTTTCCATAGCAGAGAGGAGTTCTTTTTCAAGTGAGCTGTCGATGATTTCTACTTCCGGTTACTTTGAGTAGTCCACGACGATAAACAAGTACTGTTCCGCCGTTGGGAAATGGGCCGCATAAATCAGCTGAGCCTTATTTACTCAAGATCCTTTAGGTCTGGGAGACACTTTTAAAGGTTCGCGCTAAGTATTATTGACGCTACCTTGGCCGGGTATACAGGAAGTGATTCGCCTCTCAACACTTTCGTCGCTTCCTAGGAACCATACCTTTGAGTAAAGCAGCTTTTTAGTTTAACAATTCTCAAACCTTCTAAGTCTGATTATGGAACCCTATCTTTTTTTCAGCTGATTTCAAGTTGTACCAGGACTTCTATTCGTATTGCAGCGGTGTTTATTTTCATACCAGAGGGCAGCAAGTTGGAGGACATGCCATCAAAATGCTCGGGTTCGTTGGTTCACTTATTGCTAGATTATTGATATGATTAATCTCTATCTTTATGTTAAGAGGATTCTATTTTTCTTTATCACAGTTCAACCACTAGAATAAGATGCTGGATGCGGGCAAACTACCATTTCAAGAAGAAATTCTATTTTTGTGTGTGTGTGTGTGTGTGTAAAATTCTACCCACGCTGACTGACTCATCAGTCTGAGCAAATTAAACAACTAGTCAACGGCTTAAATAATCAAATGATAATTATTAGTCT